TGTGAAGGTAACCTTCATAGTGTTTTTGTTGTGAAGGTTCAGTTTTTCTTTACTTTCATAGTGTTTTGCTGTGAAGTTTCAAATGTAAAAATGTGATTTCACGAAAACAAGTTGGTCTCACTTGAACACAACTCAATATATATATATATATATATATATAGAGAGAGAGAGAGAGAGAGAGAGAGAGAGAAAGAGAATCATTTGTTAATCAAATGAGTAGTATTAACTTTGTTAACTGATCTGATTCTTTTATTTTTTAATCAACGGTTGCGATTAAATAGGATGTTATAATCTGATAAAAAAACAAGTTAATTGTTATTGAATGAAGGGTATTTTTGGAACAAATTGTTTTTATTATTGAAAGATAATCATATATTATTTTTGGAAGATAATCAATAATATTATTAAAATATTTTTTTTAAAAGTTAATAATATTTTATTTTGAAAAATAATTAATAATATTTTTAAATAATTTTTAATTAAAAGTAAAATTAGAAATTTTATAGGTGAAACTAGAAATTAAAACAACGATTTTTGTTAAAGATCATAGGTGATCGAATAATAGGTGAAACCAGAAAGTGAAACAACGATTTTTGTTTAAAGTTCATAAGTGAAATCAGAAAATGAAAATAGTGATTTTTATTTAAAGTTCATAGGTGAAACCAGATAATCGAAGTTCATAGGTAAAACCAAAAAATAAAACAATAATTTTTTTTAACGTTCATAGGTGAAACCAGAAAACAAAAGAGGTAATTAAAGAAGTTTTAACAAGTTCAAAGGTAAAATCAAAAAATTAATAGGCGTAACAATTAAGTGTATGAGATATTTAAGGAATGATATATTTAAGGAATGTGGTATCACTAATGAAAAAGAAGAAAATGCCCCTGTTAACAAGGTTTGTACAATTTATTTGGTTAACAAAAGAAAAGACTATAACCAAAGGGCCTTTGACCTAACGGTATCGTAGTCCTTGCCCTCCTAGGAGGTCAAAGGATTCAAACCTCACCAAATGTGAGGAGAGTGTGTTAGTTTATTTGTTGCATTTCTCGTATATAAATATTATATACTTCAAAAAAGGGACAATATATAGGGTTAGATTCCGGTGAAAAATAGAGTTGAGTGAGAAACGTTAGAAGCTATCTCCATCATTGGATGCATATTAAGATAAGATGTATCAAATCAATCACCGTATCAAGTGGATTCATGAGTGAGTTTGAAATTAAAAATGATCAAGGATCCAAATCCCTTTTTACACTTCTCATATGATTCTTCGCTTATATATAATGATGTATAATATAAATAATATATGGTTATATTTTTTCCATTTTCAAAAGAAAATTTAATAAAAGATAAAAAGACTAAACCGTCCCTCATTTAACAAACATGCTTAACGGGATTAATAACAAGTGACCATTTTAAAATGAAAAAAAGAAGAAGATGATTTTAGACTCATCAAAGTTGTCCAACACTCCCACTTTCACACTTTTAATTAAACCTCAATTACCAAAATTAGAGTGTACTCTTAAATATATAATAACCTGTTTTTATTTTTAATGCTTAAAACAAATAATTTAGTTTTTAATTTTTTAATTCAATCAAAATACTTAAAGATAATAACAAAATATTTTTAAAGCTAATAAATAATGAAGTAATAATATGAATAGTTAGAATTAATAAAAATAAAATCTTAAATAATATATATACATTATATACATAATTTATTGTTTATTTAATAGTAATTTTAAAATGAAAATAATACAAATAAAACTTTAACTAACTAAAAGTTAATAGATTAAAAAACAAATAATAAACTAAAACATATTATTATAAAAAACTTTGTAACATACCAGACCAACCGTATCAGACATTATCCATTTTTTTCATACACATGGACTTATGATTTTAAAATGTATCTGATAGAGAAAATATCTAGTCCCTTATAAGGCAACTTTTGTTTTCTTCCCCAACCAAGGTGGGATCTTACAATCCACCCTCTTGAGATCCCATCGTCCTTGTTGTTGCACCAGTCAGGTTCCCGACTCTGATACCATCTGTAACATCTTAAACAAACCGTATCAATATTGTCCGTTTTGTCCACACACCTGGACTTACAGTTTTAAAAGTGTCTGGTAGCAGAGGTATCAAGTCTCTTATAAGACAACATTTCTTACTATCCCCAATCAATGTAGGATCTTATTATTAAAATGACATTGTGGTAATATGAAAGAGATGTATATAGGAGTGCAAAGAGATCATCCCAAATAGTAAAAAAAAAAAAAAAAAAGACATAAATGATAACAATTAATGCAAAGGGTTGTGTAAGAAAGAAAGTTATGTTGAAAAGCGTGTGAAGAGATCTTAACCCTTGTTCACTTGTAATCTCATGTCCACCATGAATTATGCTTTACAAGGGATTGATCTTATTCATCTCGGTGTACCTTATTAGTGTTGACATTTAATTAGGATTGATCCAATGATGAAAATGTATTCTTACTTTTCTCACCATAACTTACCTTTTTATCGGAACCCAATCCTAACAATTAATAGATAAATATGAATAAAAACTAATCATATCAATAAACACTATTATAATAAAAGTAATATAATAATAAAAAAATTAATATTTAAAATTCACTGATTTAATAAATGAGGAGACCTTTAGACCAATTGATAGGGGTGCAATAAAAAAAACCCTTATTTTTTGCTATTAGAATTAGAAATAGAAATAGAAATAGAAATAGAAATAGAAATAGAAATAGCTTTTCAATGAGAAAATACCATTGTTGGTGGTTGATTGGTTGTAGTCACCATTTGGCCTACCCTTTCAACATTTCACCAAATTCCTTTTCAATAATAATAATAATATATGATTCTACAAGATGTTTGAAACACTCTTTCTTTTAACCCTACTCTAAAAATATAAAAACTTGACAAAAAATAATTGTCAGTTTTTTAAATTTAGTGAGGATTTTTGTTATTCTAAAGTCGTCTGTCGACATACATGACTCTCAAGCATTGATAAAGGCATCATCATCATCTGGTGTTGTTATATCAGGCATATGCCTCTATATGTTTACATCCTATTTCTTTGGGAAATTCTTTAACCCTAGTCTTGACCACCGAAAAATCTCCTAGAAATGCAAAAAACCGACATAAAAATATAATTGGTAGTTGTTGGAATTTAGTGAGGGGTTTTAAAGTTGTCTATCGACACTCATGACTCTCAACCATTGACAAGAGCATCACTATCTGGCGTTGTTGGTATCAAGCTTTATGTGTTTATATTCTTTTTCTGTGGGAAAGCCTATAATAGGTTAGTGTGAGTGATATAGATTGGTCCTAACAATTAAATACGCGTGAAAATTTTACAAAAAGGTTAATCATATTATTTTGTAGCATTTGACAAGACCCTGATGTTAACTTATTATCATTAAAACCACAGGGAAACAATAATTATTATGTTTTTTTTTAGATTGTACATCAATTACACCAAAAATTGATAGAGAAAGGAATGAACTTTTATAAAGAAAGAGCGAGTTGAACATTGCTAATTGGCTTCCATCATTACATATGATCATACTTCAAACAACCGAAAGTAAGTTGTGACATTATTTGATTCAGATAACTCAAAGAGTGTTAATGATCGAAAATTTTACATGTACTGATCTGTATTCTTCTTAAGCTTTCTACTGGCTTTTTTAACCTACCAAAGACACATAGGCACAAGGGTTTGTCTTTACATTATGATGTTTGTATATCCTAGATAAATAAACCAGAATACAGGTCAATGTATTTGAAAGATAATCTTGTTCGTAAAACTAATTCTTTAAGGTTCCTATTGTTCTTTCTTCATGACCTATCACGTCATGTCAGAACCTAGGTCTTGTTAAAATGAGTCATCCTAGACCATGATACATATAAGACCATAAGTGAAACCATACAATTCTACAAGATTCGAAAAACCAGGACCATATTAGCTATCATAATGTCTCCAAGAGGACATTTCCTTCCATGGACTGAAGATGGTATTTCTTTTGGTCCATTCAAGAATGTGGGTTGGATGTCATTGGTTGTATCAATTGTCGTCTTTTGCTAAAACCTTAACATAAATATTGTACCTTTATGTTTGGTCATTTTTAACTCTTCAATCCATAAAATGACAATGACATGTCTGACTATCTATCGAAAGAGTAACATTGTATCCATCTATTTAACCTTACAGGAAGATTTTGACAAAAAATATGAATATCTGTAATAATCTAAACACTTTCAGATATATTAAAGCTCAACATCTTAAACGGAAAGGCCACTCCGACACATAAGTTGATACCAAAACTCTCCAAGGAAGATGTTTCCGAGTGTACACTAGTCTTGGTTCATTTCTATATATCCATTACTTAATTAATTGTGTATATTCTCATATGTAGTTTGCTTTCTTGATTCTTATATATTCAGCATGTACTAGATTTTCACATAAACAACCTTTCTATTCTTTTCAGTTTAATGTACCTTTCGAGTAAATAAAAAAAATCTGTATATTCAACCGCTTAAAACTTACCAACTTATCGAGTTAATTTGATTTGATTTGTTTTCTTTTTTCCTTTTTACAATTACAGAAATAGTAAATTCAATCAACATAATTATCATACATTTTACTTTTTTTTTTCTTTCTTAGGCAAGTGATTGACCCACAACTTATTTTCCTTTTTTCAATTTGAGCCCATTTTAAAAATTAGCATTCAAAATTGGATAATCATTGTAAATTATGATTGATTTGGATTTACTTCATTATTATTTAATACTTAAACCCTATTTACATTTGCTGCTTTTTCTTTTTAACTTTTTACCATATGCATTGAATGTCATTTTTTATGTGTTTTTTTATTTTAAAATACAAATCTAAAAAACTAAACTAATATGATACTTTCATCAGGTTACTAAATCCATAACGATATGTAACTTGCAAAGCGTAAAATTTGCGATTTAAATAACATAAGAGATGTTGCATCAAATTTTTACGAAATAAAGTGAAGTTACATGAAAATATGCGATACTTTTGAGTCATATCATCATCGATATTCAATAATTTACAAAAAAAGAGAACATCATGAACCCCCTTCACTTCAACAATTAATATTCTAATTAGAGCAAAGCAAAAACCCCTTTCAAAGTTAGCACCTTTTTTCACTGCCACAAATCCCTTCATCAAAAAAAAAAAAAAAAGGAGGAGGATAAACACCCATTTTGAAATCACCTAGAAATGTCATAATCAGTGTACCCAAGTTGTTGCTCCATTTCCCAGCTCAACTTTGAAGCAACTCTTTCATGGCAAGGCACATACTCCTGTTGTGAATTGGTCATGAAAACACACTTCAGTTTGTTTGACTTCAAAACTCAAATACCATTAAATAGAATTTACATAGTTTTCTGAATTAATCAATTACCTCCAGTTTACGAACCAAAACCTTCGCGGTTGGTGCCAACACGATGATGTGTCGAGCACTTGGGCTGATGAACCCTTCCTCAACCGCTTTGTCAATGAACGACAGTAACGAGTTGTAGTATCCATCCACATTCAACAAACCAACCTACATCCAACATCTTAATTAATCAATTTCTTTCGTTGTATCAATCCATTTGCTTCAAAATTTAAGAAATCTACCGGCTTATCATGAATGCCGAGTTGAGCCCATGTTATCACTTCAAGCAGCTCTTCAAGAGTGCCATATCCACCTGCATAATCATCCTCTTAATCACTACAGGCATAATCTTGAGGCAACATGTTATAGTTTAATTTGAAGTGGAAATACATATATATATATATATATATACACACACCATAAATGGTAAGGTAAGAAGTTTACAAAATCAGGTCAAGTGTCACCATAACCATATATATCAATTGCTTTAAATGGGTCACAGAAAATAAAGAGAGATACTAACAAACAAAACTAAATTATGACAGACACAAGCTCACATAAAGAGATTAAGGGGCTGTTTTGACAATCACTTTCATATGTAGAATTTCATTTCTTGATATGATCAGACACTAAAACAACTCTGAAAAACTATGCTTCTTTTTTCTTCCTTGCATCTTGTCCATTGTATGGTATTGGTAATCATAAAGTCAAAAGCACAGCTTTGACTTCTGTTCTGGAAAAGGACATGTAGCTTCTGCATACATAACATACTTGTACACAATTAATACAAACAACTCTTTCTCTCTCCTGGGTCAAAATAGACCTTTCTCTAGTAAAGGGAAGCAACTTGCTCCTATCTTCTATCAACTGAAAAGTCAAAGTCAACAATTTACATGCTTTCCTTTAATTGTTGGTCTAGTTAATTTAGCTTAAGGAATCAAGAAAAGGGGCTCCATTAACACCCCATTAGTTATGACACACAGCAGCCTCCAAAAGTCTAGATTTATGCTAAAGAAAATCTTTATATTTCTCATGCAATAAATGTAAATGAAGATACATTTAGTGAAAAACTGCTCATATATATTGGGATACATTTGAATGAAAGAAGAAGACAAATAAAAGCACCTGGCAGGAGTTGTATGAGATATTAGTGAAAGAATATGAAACATGCTGCAGGGCTTTATATTTATACTAACCTGGTAAAGCAATAAAAGCATCAGAATGCTTTGCCATTTCTGCTTTCCTTTGGTGCATATCTGCCACTGCTTTCACTTCTCCTACAGTTTCACCAGTTAACTGCAAAAAGGAAAACAAAAACATTAACAATTCTAGAGAGAGAGAAAGAGAGGTGTGTTATGATGGAGTTTATGCAGTAAAACAATGATGAGGGTTGCAGGAATGGTGGACTTTCAATAATCTTTTACAGTCACTGTATTTTCAGAGGTTGCAGTACACATACACATACACATACACATACACATACACATACACATACACATACATCTCTCTCTCTCTCTCTCTCTCTATATATATATATATATATATATATTTTGTGTAGAAAATGCCAAGGAAGAAAGGTACAAGAGCTAAACTGTACAGGCTCAAGATATCAGGAAAAATTGTAACCACAAATGGAAAAACCATATAAATCATCTGAAAGCAAAAACCATATATAATATATACATATCCAACCAACCCCAATTTGTTCTCTTGATAAGTCTAATAAACAACAAGAGACAAATGCTTAACAACAATAAAAATATCATTTACATTAAAGTGATGTTCCAGAAAAGGGTATATAAAAGCAAAGAAAAATAGCAAAATATGCAAGTTTTTTACCTTTTCTTCCTCTTTCTGTTTTAGTTTATTGATATATACACATTATATATATATATATATATAGTTTTGTAATTTTATAATATGGAAAGTTTCAAGACTTTTGATTGCTATCGAGACATACCTCTCGAGGCATGAGCGTCTTGGGAATAACCCTGCAGTAGAAGAGAGACAAGAACATGACAAAAAGTTAGTTTTAATCAAAGAAAACCCCAACAACAAACACACTGATTCTGTTCCTTAATCATCCTCTGTTAATCTTAATACTAAAAATAAATAAACCTTGTATCTTTTTTTGAGGCCATATATAATAATGATTAACATCACACGTTCCATCTCTATATATTACCCAATAACATGACGACCACCATCATGAACAGCTTGTGAGACCAATCCCATTAACCCAATGCTACCTCCTCCATACACCAGATCGATGTTTCTTGAAACCTGCAAATTCATAACATCAAACCTCTTTTTACGCTCACCTTTTTCCTTATAAAAATCAACATTTTGACATTTTTTTATGGATGGGGTTCACTCTTACAGCAACGATTTTCAATACACAACATAATGGTACTACTTTTTTCGTACATTATCTATATATTCTTTATCTATTTTAAGAACAAAATACGTACAAACCTTAGAGCATCTCATAGATTGTAGAGAATTTATATATGAAATCGTCAACATGCAAAGGCTCATAGTTGCTGAAACAAGAAATCTTGAAAAAAGAAGACATTCTTGATTTCAAACACAAACCATGATGAAACGAAAAGAACACATTCTAGTTGTTGATTTCAAACAAAAAAAACCCCATTAAGCTACAAGCAATGAAGAAGAAGATTCCAAACAAAATAATGATCACTTTTTCAAGAAACCCATTATCAATGGCAAGAAAGAGAGATTTGATAACAGAAAAAGAAAAGAAAGAAGATGAAAATACCAATTCTTTGCCAAGCTCAATAGCAGCATCTTGGTAGCTGCTCTTCTTCCCTTGGCTACTCCCACAGAAAACACAAATCCTCTTGAACTTTGATACCTTGATTTCACTATCCCTCTCCATTATTCTGCTGTCTCTATCTTAGTTTTCCCTTTTACAGGAATATGGTTGATATGAAACAATCTGGTTGAAATTAAAAAGAAGAATCTGCCCTGTTTTAACCTTTCAAGAAACACACACACACACACACAGAGAATGTGAGAGAGAGAGAGAGAGAGAGAGAGAGAGAGCCCAAAATTGCGTGTGACAGAAGAGAGCACTAGTCTGATGGATTAGTATAAAATCAAAAACATTTGAGGGGTGGGGGAAGATTGTGTATTGTTTTAGTCCTTTTTGGTTTCACCACCTCAACCGTGCTTGTATTTATAGACTCTTTGGCACGTGAGTGTCCTCTCATTCCATACCCTAGCTAGCACGTGTGGGGACCATACAATTTTCAAAAACAAATTCATCTGCCATTCAATTCATTGGTATTTAATTATTTACTATATAATTAGTTTTTTCAAGTGTTGTATTAATTCATGACTTGTTTGGTAAGCAACTCATGAGAGCATGTTTAACACAATTTCTAAAACTAAAATAATAAGCTTCTAAAGATTTTCTTTATAAAAATTCATGAAATTTTAAATAAAATTATCGAAAATGAAGAAAAGAAGAGCAAAATAATTCTTTTTATTCAGATTAGAAAACTACTCGCGCAATACAACAAGATATATCTCGATTTCAATATTTCATTTTATTTTTATGGTCTTTGTTGATGTTATAATATGAATTTATGTGGTTTTGAGCAAAACAATAATGTTTTTCTTAATCAAATATAAATTTGAAGATATCATAAAAATTAAAAATATATATAAAAGTTCTATTTTTTGTGTAATTTCTCTAATTCTATTTTTTATTATAATTTAATTTAAGTTTAATGACGAAGTCATTTATTTTTTGTTTAATAATATAAATTTTATGTAGATAATAACTAAGTATTCTGTTGAAACCCAATAATTATCCTAATTATATTTTAGATTTTATATTTAAAATAAAAAATTTTATCTTGTATTTTATTATATTTATCTACAGTTAGTTACATGAATTCAAACATGGAACTTAAAAAGTTGTACTTACGCACAATTTACTTGTAATATCATTTTTTATATAATTTCTTTACTTTATTTTTTTATTATAATTTGATTTAAATTTAATAATAAAATAATTTATTTTTTGTTTAATAATATAATATTTATAAAGATAATAATTAAGTATTGTTATAACTCAATAATTATCTTAATTATATTTTAGATTTTTTATATTTAAAATAAGATGTTTATCCTGTATTTGATTATATTTATCTGTAGTTAGTTATACGAATTCAGATATGAAGCTTTAACAAGTTGTACTTACAAACATTCTACTTGTAATCTTGAATTTTAAGTAACATGCATTAATAAACGGTACTTTATACATAAAAAATGGTTTTTAAGAGTTTTTATCAAATACTTTATAATATAGTATAAATAATCTTACAAATGAAGAAAAAAGATATTATGAATTAATTAAGTTTTACTTCTTTCGAACTAAATTATTCCAATCTACAAAACTTCTTTCAGAAAAGTTTATTTCAAGTTTTATTGAATATTAAATACATTTAACATTTTAATAATGTAAAACTTTTAGAATTAAATCTATTTGTTTAGAGTTTTTAACATTCTTTTTTTATATTTTAAAAATATTATAAATAAACGTTTTCAAGATATGATATGACATCATGATACATGTTAAAACTAGTGTTTTTTGTGTTAAAAAAACCATATTTTTTAAGAAAATACAAAAAAATTATGAGATGTGATTTTTTATTTAAAAAACCTCATATGTTACTAGTATTTTTTGAAGCTGTACCGCTAAAATTCTCCAAAATCGTTTCTTTAGAAACTATGCTAAACATGAGGCATATCATATATTTTTTTTTTCCTTTTTTTTTTCCTATTTTAGTACTATGATAGTATGTGTGTATAAAATATCAACTGTTAGGAAAAAATGTAAATATGGAAAAAACTACATTATTCTTTGTTTTTTAACAATATTTTTTAGGTTTATCTGAATATCAATTCTAATATCAACTCATCATTGATATTACCATTAGTTGTAATTTTTTCACGTTTCTATGATCAAAAGTGTCAATTGAACCACAAGGATCAAATATATGTATGGTCAGTAACTTGCCTCAAACTTTTGAGATTGCGGTCCTTTGTTGTGTGCATGTCTAATTCATTGGTGGATGAACCAATAAACTACGCAATTGACTAGGCCACATAATGACTTCTACCTCTCTTGAAGGATACTTAACTACAACAAGAGCATAAAATATCTCAAAGAGCAACCACTTGTTAAGTCAACGATAGTTTCTAAGTAGTTAAAAGACTCGACTATCCTTCAATTAATTTCTAGTTAGTTAGGGCAAGTATGCATGATCACATTTCCATCATGGGTCAAAGATTAACTAGTCTTTATGTTCAGTTTCTCTATCATTATTTTAATATAAACTTATTTGGTACCAATGCATATACTTGTACGAGTTTGTTATATTTAATAAAAAAAAATTATAATAAATACTTAAAGTTTTTATATATTAAATGGTGATGGTTGGACTTTTTTGGATAAAAGATGATACAAGTGCCGAGTGTTGCGGGTGCAAATTTTACGGTTAGGCTCCAAAAGATAAATATGAATAAGTATTTTCTCATAATTAATTCAAACTTGATAAAGTCCTTTAACTTTTTAGCATGCCAAATTGCTAATAAAAAAATTCAATCATTTTCCCATAAAATGGGCTAATTATAACATTTATTTAAATAACAATAATAATAATATAAAATCAATGGCACATCAAATATTATAATATGTTTAAATCTTACTTATGTTAACATTATTATAATTGTTTGAGAGAGAGAACCAGAGGAAATGCTATCAATATGACGAGTTATTTTAAACATAGATAAAGAAAACATGATATCTAATCGTATATTTAAATAAAGATTAAAATTGAAGTTTATCTCAACACGTTCTATGTCTAGTTTAATTTACTTAACCATTAAGTTATTTCGATACATAAAAACAGTTGTATTAACAAAGGGAAAAAAATATTTGTTTAAAATTATAATAAAAACGTGACAGTTAAAATCGTGGTATTAGTATGTAAACTTTAGTAAATGATCATCATTTAATTAATGTTATTATAAAAAGAGATAAGTTTGGATCGTTGCTATCTGAAACAAAGGAAAAGGTCAAAAATGGACATAGTGAGATGGGTGATTTCTTAAATATGTGCATGCGCATCTGTACTCATGTTATGGGCATATGGGTAAATATTGGAGTAGGTGGCCATTGCTACCACATAGAGTATGGTGCATATCATACATATGTTTAGTCTATGTTTTTTTTCAAATTCATCAAATTTTGTTTTTACTTTTTTAAAAAGATATAAAAATAACTGCATTTTTATTTTAAGAATAAGGTTATAAACAAATCGAACAAACGTAAAGAGATGCTTATTCGTATTCATTTATTTAATTTAACCAAACAAATAAACGAACACAAATGTTAAACGAACGTAAATGAACGAAAAAGACCATTATTTTTAATTAATATATAAGAAGTTTATATAAACATTTGTCAGTAAGTTTTGAAGAGTGAAGAAAGAAAGGCATGTGGGGGTATTGGGTTATCAGGTTTGTACCCTAATCCACCCTCCCATATTGGACACATTTGTTGTATTCATAGGAAACATTTCCTTTTTATTTTATTCCCCATTTTGCCCATAACTATAACTATAACTATAACCATAAGCATGCTGTCCCAGCCCCCATCCTTTCTATTTTTACTTCCTCCAATCACCTTGGCTGGCATTTGCCACATCATCTCTTTCTATTTTCAGCCTTAGGGGCAAAACAGTAAATCAGTACTTATTTTAATTATTAAAAGTATAAATTAGCTTTTTCATCATTAAAATAAATTAACTACTTGTCTGTTAATGTTTTCTATAAAACATTGTTGATATTGATTGTGACTCACTGAGTTTTTACTTTTTAGTTTATATATATATATATATATATTTATATATATATATATATATATATTTATANATATATTTATATATATATATATATATATTTATATATATATATATATATATTTATTTATTTAATAGTTCAATAAATTAAATATTATTGATATAAAATTTGGTCGATATTTTAAAATAAAACAATAAAATAGAAGAATGTTTTGAACCGTATCTATTCACATTTAAACGTGTTACAAGAAAATGCAAAGGGATATTTGTATTTGAAAATGTGGATCATATTTAAAAATAATATTAAACATGTATGTCTAATGTTTATTTTCTTTTTAGGAGGAACCTTTAAAATATAAGTTACATTTTATAAATACATGCATAAAACTTCGATCAAGCTTAAATATTTGTCGTTTTATAATTAAAAAGATCCTTATATCACATTAAAAACAAGTTATTTTTTTCTTTTATTTTTAGCATAAGTTTTAAATTCATGACGTATTGATAGATATATTTATATTAGAAAAACAAACCTGAAAAATAGATGTCTGAAAATGTATATAATTGTTCTTGTGTTCAGTATATCTTACGATTAAATATAGAATAGGGAAAATATGTCTTTGACGTGTAGCTTAATTGACAAAGTTGGATAATTTTGCCGAAATACAAGAGAAGGCCAGAGTTCGACCCACCGAAGGGGAGGACTAGCCTCAATCGCCGAGTGAATCAAAGAACCAAGGACGTTCCAACCTTTTTGAATGTATTGTTACATCCAAAATTTTTATTACATTACATAAATGAGATAATAGAAAATATATGTTAAGAACAAAAATGACCTAAATCTAAACGAATAACAATGTGAAAATAAACATAAGCTATTAATTATTTGAACTTAAACAATTTTAGCTATAGTTTTATACATGTTGATAAAAAGATCATAAACACATGTAAATTTCGGTCCCAAAATTTACATGCCCCTATTTAAAATCTCATATTTAACATGTTAAGAAAAAAATTCATACAAAAAACACCTTCACATTAATCTTCTTTGAAGACGAGTTTCGTATGAAATTGATAATATCTTTTTGTAAAAAGAATATATATATAAAATGACAAGTACTGCATTTTGTTGAAACATCACAAATCCCCATATCGGCCTTTCTGCCCCTTCTTCCATTCACTTAGTTTTATATATCTTTCATTAAAATATTAGTTAAAAATAAAAAATAAACCG